TAAGAAGAGTATCAATTTTATTAATAAGTTTTAATTTCTAATATGTGAATCCCAATACCATCTAGAAAGGTCAGGAAAAGGCTCTATGATTGTCTTAGGACAAAACGCTGGCTCTATGGCTTGAAGAGCGGGATGAGCGCCGCCCCCTAGAGTCGGACACGACTGGACAAAAATTGTCAAGGGGAACCTTTACCTTTACCTTAAGAAGAGTATCAATTTTATTAATAAGTTTTAATTTCTAATATGTGAATCCCAATACCATCTAGAAAGGTCAGGAAAAGGCTCTATGGTCCCCAAAGATTACATGAATGTAAGAGTACCGTGTTTCGCTGAAAATAAGACAGGGTCTTATATTAATTTTTGCTCTAAAAAACACATTAGGGGTTATTTTCAGGGGATGTTTTATTTATTTTTTTCATATACAACAATCTGGTTGCTGCAGAATGGTGCAGGGCAGGGTTTCCCTTAACTGGGGCTTATTTTGAGGGTAGGGCTTATATTAAGAGCGTCCTGAAAAATCATATTAGGGCTTATTTTCAGGTTAGGTCTTATTTTCGGGGAAACGGGGTAGGTAATCCTTTTTATTGGCCCACTAAAAATAAAACAAATTGCAAGTTTTCATGGAGAAAATTTCACTTCTTCTGGCTGATCTAAAAGGTTGCAATCTGTTAGATTTTTAGTGGTCCACTAAAAGGTATCAGCCAATCCTATCTAGTTTGATTCAGAAGTCCCACAAAGTTCAATGGAGCTTTTCCTAGGTTAAGTAGGTATGGATTATGGCTTTTGTTCAAAATATGCATTCTGATATAACCTGTTAAAGGCTTGCCAGCTTGTCATCTGTTTTCAAACATTCAAAGCATCAAGTTCTATAAATAAAATCAGGTGTTTTGAAACTCTTGCACAAGCTTATAATTGTGTACCCTCAAGTCAATTCCGACTTATGGCAACTCTTTTCAGGGTTTTCCAGGTAGAGAGAACTCAGAAGTGGTTTACCATTCCTTTCTTCTGGGGGCACCCAGGACCTGTTCAGCTTGCCCAAGGCCACACAGCCATATACCTAAATCACGGAGCTATCCAGCAAGTCATACAAATCTATAACTCAGATCTGAAACTCCTAATTCCTCAAGTTTCTCTCTCAGCCTAGGTTTTCTGACTGAAAGATTCACTATGAAACACCAGATAGATTTGAATATGCAGGAAGATTTGACATGTAAGCTAGAAATTAAGGTCTTATCCACAATGCTTCTTCATGAACTATATAAATATACTCACAAACATACAGCAGTATATTTCCATATGAAAGATGATGTTCTGAGTCCAAACCTTTGTCACTCAAGTAATATGCAACCAACAAAAATATATGACAAGTTAAATATCCACTAAAATAAAGCTGCACAGTGTAAACCCATTTTTAAAAGTTTACAAGTCTAAAAGAAGTATCCATCAACCTAGAAGGGTATGTGTGGATTCCTTCTATCTTCTCTTACTAGATGTTATTCAAACATCCATTTTTGCCAGTTAAAGGGAAAACAGTAGTAGGATAATATAGCAGAGAATAAAAGAGGGGGAGATGATTTAACTTCCTTGAGTTTTGCTTGCTGATCAATAAATCAGTCTGTTTCCTCCTTATTTCAGTAAATACATACATTTATAGCATGCTTTTTCTTAACAATATGGTCACATAACCAGTTATAAACAATCGTGAGGTTGAATATCATCCCATGTGAATATACAGAAAATACTGGCAGAAGTTACTACATTAAGCCAAACACACATTAACAACTACCTTCTCAGCGATGGCCAGTTTGAAAAAATATGTTTTAAAGATTTCTTAAGAAAACAGACCCTTCACATTATTCCTTTGCACCTAATTATAGTGTTCTATGACCCTTTTTTATTTTTAAAACTAGGATAATGTTTCATGCATCTAATTTGTCCTCATCTGAGCACATTCTCATATGCTTCTTTGTACTGGGACAAAAATACAGTATAAAGTACTGAAATGTAATTTAATAATTAATAGCAAGACCTTTGCTTAGTCCTTTCCTCATGTTTGCCAACTGTGAAAACTGACTCTGTTCTGTGATCTATTGATGTGTACTAAGACAAATACTGTTTGTTCTTCATTTCAAGCATCAAACCTGAACAAAATGCAAAATGCAATGTCAGTTTAAAAGCTTAATCTGATCTTTCCATCCCCTTGAGCTCAATGGACTCTGTTGACAGTGCAAGGTAATGGGCTGACGGTAATAGATTTGATTATCAGCACTGTATCTTTAATAATTGAAATGTTCTTAGCTGTACAGGCAAGGAAGAACGGTTTTAGTACATCCATCTTTAGGCTGGCAATGATCATTTAAACCAGCAAGCGGCAGATCATACACCAGCTACAGTCCATATCCTGCAGCTCACATGAGAAAGAAGGGCTATCAGATGCCCGATCTCTACAAAACAACCTGGTGCCCCAAAATATGGGCACCTAGAAAGGTCTCAATTCAACCATTCCAGGCAGTCTTTAATATTTCAGTCAAGAGGTTGTGTCTCATACTGTATGCAGAGCCCCTTGGAACACTGCAGAAAGTCTAGTTCCATACATTCCACACAGGACAGCAATGACAAATAAACTTCATTGTAGGAAGTACTCTCTCCCACAAAGTTCTGGTTTATACCTTCATGATTAGGTCTCACTTCAGCATTTCTTTAAGATTCTCCTCTGTAGAGGGCCCCTGTGGGCATACAAATAGGACAAAAATCAGCCCCAAGAGAAGGGGAGTAGCAAGAGGGAAAGAAGTTGGCAGTAAGACAGGAGATAATGAAGAAAAGACAAAGGCTTGTAAAGATAGCAGGTCAATAGATCCATAATCTTTACCCTACACTTAAGCACAGAAAATGAAGAGTATGTCACCTAACCAGTAAAGAGAAAGAAACTACTTTCTGCTTTGCATTTACTTGCTGTCCCTGTTTTGCAGAACTGAGGTCTTCCTGAGGCTTACAGCTTGGATCCATTTAGTTTCACTGATCAGGCTCACCCAAAGGAAGGGTGGGGGGCAGGATGCTTATGTTTGGTGACATCAAAAAAATAAGAGCCATGCTGGATTGGACACAAGGCCTGTCTTGTGTAACATTCCATTCTCACACTGGCCCACCTGCTGAGTATGGGAAGCTCAAAAAGCAGGACACAAATGTAGCTGCAAGCTCTCTCATAAAGCTGTTCCTCAGCAATTAATATGCTGTACTATAGAGCTATACTCCACACTCTTGATACCAAAGGTAATACAGTATTTAGCTATCCTGACTAGCAGCCACTGATAGCCTTATCCTCTACAAACCTGTCTAATTCCCTTCTAACACTGTCCAAGCTGATGTCCTTCATTGTTTGATAGGCAATTCAACAGCTCAACAATGTGCTATGTGAAGTTTTTTATTCTGTCTGTCCTGAATCTCCCATTCAGCTGTAGTGGGTGACCTTGAGTTCTAGTATTAGGAGGGAAAGAGCAAATCTTCCAATCTACCTTCTCCAGATTATGTATAATTTTACGTATCTTTATCATCTTTCTCTTAAGCAAAACAGTATCAAACACTGTAACCTTCCCTCAAAGGGAGGAGATTATCATTCTGGTTGCTCTTATATCTGCATCTTTTCCAGCTCTGCTATATCTTTTCACAGATGTGATAACTAGAATTGTATACAGTATTCAAGTGTGGCCACACATAGACTAGTATGCCACTGGCAGTTCTCTTTTCAATTTCTTTTCTAATTATGGCCAATCTAGAATTTGTCCCTTCTACAGCAACTGCACACCGGGTTGACATTTTCATCAAACTATCTACCACAATCCCTTTCCTGTTCAGTCACTGTCAACAACAGACCTCAGAGCTATGTGATGAGGATTTCTGCCCCTGTGTGCATCAAATTACATTTACTTATATTGAATTATATGTGTCATTTCAATACCCATTTATTTTGGTGCTCTTTATTTTGTTAATTAGATTTATATACCGCCCATCTAGAACGTGTCGACTCTGTTTCCATTTGTATTTAAAAACCCTCTAATAGTTGGGGGCCATCAGAAAATAGGGTCGCCACACTGCTCATAGCAATCTTTTAAAAGGGCATACGTAATTTTAAAAAGGGCTCCCTTCTAATTATAACTAAATAAATAAAGCCTATATGAAGAATGCCATATAACTGATGATTTAATTCACAACACAACTTAAATGATTTCACTGAGGGGTTGCTGGCAGGGGATAGATGACACACACAGAGTAGACATCTGGATCGTCTTCTCCTCCAGACCAAAAAAAAACACCACCGAAAAACAGTCACAGTTAGTATTATTTACTGTTGTTTATATTACTATTATCACTGTTATTCCTAAATGACACACACACACACACACACACACACGGACTTGATGGGCAGAGGATGTTTCTGTCAATAGCCGGTTCCCTTCTCTCCCTCAGACATTCCTAACGGTACACACAGCGAGGACCGTGACATTTGCTTTCCTCAAAGCTCCCTCGCCGGCTGGAGAGGCTGAGGAAGTATCCCGANGGACACCCTCCCAGCCGGCGAGGCGAGGCGAGCGAGGGAGGCCCGCCAGGACTTTTCTCCTGCTCCGGACCAGACGCCCCGCCAGGGCTGGCGAAGCCAGAGGCCGGCGGGTGGGGAGGGCGGCCGCCCAGTCCTTGCACAGCCTTGCACGAGAGGCGCTCCCGCCGTCACGGCCATCTGGCCTGAGAGGGAAGCAGGAAGAGAGAGCGAGAGAGAGAGCGGATAGGAGGAAACCGCCAACGTCCGAGCGGGGTCTGGCAAGGGCTCCCACCACGCCTCCCCACCAACCCTCATAGTCCCCGAAAA